GATCTTTAATGATCTTTAGAAAACTTTAGCTCTAATAATTATCTATTATGCGATTGTTTTCTCTATTTTCTAAAATTGATGGTTTCGTTCTTTTTATATTATGATTACGTAATCTATGTGTAATAATGATCTTCTATCACTTCCTTAATAAAATTATCTCTAATTTTTTTAAAAAAAATTGAGTCATTTACCTCATTCCCTTCGTATTTCCCTACTTACATATTCACCAAATGGTTCTTCAACCTCTTACGTGCAATCATACCAAGCCAACCATTCTTTTACACTATTTCTTATATTTGAGATCAAACCCACCACCTTTGTTCAAGCTCATAAAAGTGAGACTTGACAGAAGGCCGTGGGAATGAGCTTTACTATCTAACAACACTTAGACTTTTGTTTTTAAATAATTTAACTATAATATTATAGAGACTAAATGTATTTATCCAACAAGAATAAGTCAAATATGTCGACTGACATATGCAGGGCTAAGTTGATGACTGAGGATAAAACTAACTTGAGAATGTAGAGCATGCCAAAACTTTTAATCTCATGGAAACATTGCCATTCGGGACTTAGAACAAAGTAAAATTAGTGACTATACATGAGGTTATCATGGTCCTGGCAAGTCATAATATCTCAAATAAAACTAGATAACCTATCTTAGAAATTAAACCATTATACAAATTTCACAGGTAACAGGCTCGAGAGGTTGATAATGTGGTTAAATTTAGATTAAGTCTAAATAAATTATTCTGTCATCAAGATATTTTCTTATAAAATAATTTTAGTTTAATGTACAATTGAGTGGTTGATATAGATATTTATGCATGTGTCTGTGTTAAACTAATAGTGTGACATCTACTGGTTGCATAATTTTGTCTATACACTATGTACACTCATATTATGGTATATAAGTATCTTACGGAATCAATAATACTTTTTACTAAAATTAAAAATAAAATCTTTAGTTTACTTTTCCTTAGAGAAAAAAATAAGTCATTGATATACTTTTCTATTTATCTATTCTATTCACTTAACTTGGAGATAGAAGCACAAAATCAATTAATGAAATATGATCTAATTGACTATTTTGTATTCATGTATATTGTGTATATGTATATACCTCTGTTTGGTAGTTTGATCTTTGTTGTGCTTGGAATGGAATTGCTCTTATCCCATCGATGTCAGTGCTTGAGTTAGTTTGTTGCCAGGCCCCTCTAGTACTGAAATGTATATTCATAAAAAATAGATTAGACAACAGCTATATATTATATATTTAACAGTCTAATCATAATAGATTAATATATATATATATATAGTATCACATTGTTAAATTTTCTAATAATAATGTAAATAAGATATTGTGCACATGATCATGTATATAAAATATCATACGTGATAATATATACAATAAAAAATTTACAAATGCACATACACACTAATACTTAAATAATTGATTGAATCTATTATTTCAAAAAGTTAAATTGATATAAAATTGTCTAATCAATTATTTGTACTTTAACACGTTTTCTCATATATAAGTTCATTGAACTAGAAGTGTGAATCAAACACATGCTCACTAAATGTGCTGCGAATTAATTTGTATAGAAATAGAAAACTGATGATTCAAACTCAACTAAATTGGTAAATAGTAAGAGAAGTCATCGGCTAAAAAGTTAAATATTTGTTAAAGTTTAATCGTGAAAATGATAATGATGTAGGAGTTAATGTATATATAATAGGTTGAATATTCTTTTATCACTTTAATTTTTTGAAAAATATTAGTTTACTTATATCTAATATGATATTAAAACAAGAGACTTAGTGTTTGAATCTTGGTTATTACTATACTTTTATTAATTAATTTCTTTTCTTTTGAATTGTAATTAATTATTTGTTTGAATCTTAACTTATTAACTAATTTCAATACAAGGTAAATTTTTTTTTTATTTATATAATTTTACTTGACTAATACGTTTAACTTAATAATTAATACGTAATTAATACAAAAAATTTATTTTAAAAACTTAAGCTAATATAAAATAACTCAACGGTGTTATTTATATTAGAATACCACCTTATGAATAAATTTATCTCTATACATGACCATATATTATTAGAGTATGTTGAAATTCTCATATATATAGAAATTTAATGTACGAAAAGGAAAAAGAAAACCCTAAAAGTTTTACATCTTCCACAAATGTTTATATATATATATATATATATACACACACACACACAAAAAGAGAAAGTTTGTCATGTTCATTTTATTCCTTTGTTGCTCATTATAATATTCTAAATTTGAAATTCAATGTACAAAACATTAATGTTGAGATCAATTCATTAATTAGGCAATTACTTTTTGAAAAAACATGATTAGGCAAAAATTGTTTGGCTAATTTTAGAATTTATGAGTGTCTAGCAAGCTAGTACCTATATAGACTCAGAAAAAGCAAAAGGTTAAAGAAGATGTACTGAGGCTATACATGTTGCATTGTAATACTAATATACAAGTGTATATATATATACATACATACATACATAAATTTCTTCCTTTTCTAAAGCTGTTTTTTTTTTCCCTTAAAAGAATGACAAAAATCAGATTTTTTTGAAAGATAACAAAAAAGAAACTAGATTTAAAAATTAATTCCTCAGAGAACTAACAGAAGAAAGAAATGAAAATTTCAAGAATGCAATATATACATGTACATACATGTATATATATATATACACACACAGGTCAATCAAATCATGACCTGAATCTTGTCTGCCTGTGGGAGAGACAATCTCTGGCTGCTGCTATTATGTGTATAATTAAAAATAATAGTATAATAATAATATGGAGAACTCTAATACATTTGCTGCTTTTATGGATATCTTTGTTGTTAGGATGATCTTCTCATATATGAATTCTAATTAACCAAAGAAAACAATAAATTATGATTATATAATGACATATTATATAAGATTAGTCTTATATATTGATTTTAAATCCAATTCGTAATTCACAAAAAGAGGAAATTAGCTCTATAAGTATATTCCTCACACATATATATATGTATTATATGATAATCTCTAACTAGCTAGTATCATGAGGTGCATATATAATAATGAGGAATAGTTTTTCTTTAGCACAGATATTAAAGATGAATATATATATATATATATCTCTCTCTATATATATATGTGTAGGATTCATTTTGACCCATATCCACTTAAACATATAAGGCATCTTCATCAATTAGGAAGTATAATTTCCTGCAAACAAGAAGGGGCAAACATGGAGAACATTTAAGCGAAGGAGGTACCCAAGAAAGAACAAAGTCAAATGTATATACACAGAGCTTTTTCTGGTCTAAAGATATAGTACATATATATATACACACACATGATGTATATGCATATGTAAGTTACTTTGAATTTTGAAAAGGAAGCACTTAATTGATGTTAAGTTCTTCCCATATATGTATATATATATGTATGCAATGCGTTCTCGTGGAGGAATAAGAACCGGAGGTCAAAGTTAAATATTATATATACATACATAAATACATGCATGTGGAAGTAATTAATCAGCGAAGACACAGCATTAATTCTAAAGAAAAAAGAAAAAGTATTGTAGCAGTGGGTACTTTCAGTTTTCTATATATATATGCACACACACACACACACACAACACCCTAATTCAATTAGCTAAGAGGCCAGATTGATGATTAGGTTTTATGCAACTTTTTCTTTGAAGAAAATTTAAATGCCCATCAAAGCTATAAATCTAATCCAATCTCCCGAGAAAATCTTCCAGAAAAAGACTTAAAAAAGAAAGAAAGAGAAAATTAAATTATTAGGAAAAAGCAAAGAAAAAAAAAGCTGCCAAACAATAAGTCTTTTAAGTTCTTCATAAATGGCGGACGTGGTTTGCATTTCCAAGCTATTAACGTACACCATGCAAAAGCAAAAGGAACCCTTCCCATGTCACTTCTCCCACTACTCAACACTAGTATCTGTACGTGGACTTCATTAAAGAAAAAAAAAAAGTCACACCCACATATCTATTCTTAATCTATATATACGTGTGTATATATCTATATATATATATGGGACTCCTTATTTGTATTGCTACTGTATCTCACTAAATGGTTTTATAGTTATCTAAATAATATTAGATAATTACTTGAACCCATTTTGTTAAGATCTTAAATTGATAAAAAAAAGGCTCAATAAATTGTTTTATATTCTAATAAATAGTTTATTAAAACTAACTACTACAAAAACTTTAAGTTCATGAGAAATTATTTAATATATTATACATGTTTGCTTATCTATATTTTTCCTAGCAAACCCATTTGTTTGAAGATTTTTCTTATGCATAAATTTATTAAGTTTAATGGGTGAATGAAGAAAAAAATATTATACTTCATACTAAAAGTATATAAGCTATATTAATTCCTTCTACTATAATTTGTTAATATATAAGCTATATTAATTCATACTAAAAGTATATCATAGTGTTAATATGTCACTATGATCATTTGCTATAGTTGGTTTTTGACATGACAATCAACGGTCAAAATGTAGTAAAATAGTATCAAATGATAATCAAATTGATAGTACGAATAGCAGCAAAAGATGAGGAGATATAACCGGTGCCTTAAAGCAGACAGAGTTACTATAGAATATGTATATATAGTTGTGTATATATATACACAGTGTAAGCATATACCTTGAAGAGTTGCTCCAGAGAGTTGTAGCAGTAGAAGGGAAGTCCATTTCTTGTTGCAGTGATCCATCTGGTTGCCCTCTTTGATGATCTGTTGATCGCCTTCCACTTCCCATTGTGGATATGTCTTCTTCCCCAGATCCATCTGATTGGCCTGCAAGTGGGTACCCCAAAGTACTACTCCTTTAAACTTTCCACACACGAGTATACATGTATACGTATAGAAGCATGTGTATGATGACCACGCATGGATGGAATATGTACATGTATGTATGTGTATATGTATGTATATGTAGGGGGTAGGTTTATGGGATGGTGTGATATGATTTGATTTGTCTTTTATCCATAATAGGGTTTTATAAAAAGGGTAGAAAAAATGCGAAATAGAGAGTAAAAACCGGAGGATAAAAAGGAAGGAGGAGGCTACAGAAAATGAAACAAAAGCTGCCCAGGAAGAAGAAATTGAATTATAAAGAAGAAAAAGAAAAAAATTGAATAAAGAGAAAACAATAAAATGGGTGGAGACTAAGCAATACGAATTACCTGAAGAAGCTGCAGGCTTGTCAGTGGTCTTCACAGTTCGATACATCTACAAGCATTTGCAAAAGAAAGAAAGACCATTCAAAACCCATCAAAGAAAAACAGAAACAGAAAAGAGATTACATAAGAAATAAGATCAAAAGGGAGAAAATAAAATAAAACAGAAGTTTTTTTTACCCGAGAAAGCATAGCATTAATACTCAATGTACTTGAATAATACTTTATTATTCATGTCTAATTAATAAAATATATAAATTTTAAGAAAATGGGTCTTAAGATTGGTTAAAAAATTTAATCTTGATATACAAAATTAATCAAATACTACATATTCTCAATAAACAAAGGAAAAAAAAAAAAAAAAAAAACCAAAATATGATTTCAGTATAAAAGAAAAAAGAAGAACTGGGTAAATCTAAAAGATGTAAGGTGAGAATATAGGTATATATAGGTATATATAGGTGTATTTATAAGTGGGTTTGTGTTGGATTGATTATTAATCACGAGGATGATGTTTGAATAAGGTAGTAAGTAATGAGGAGTTTATTATTGAGAAATGATGACTTGTTTTTGTCTCTTTCTCTTTCCTCTTCCAAACAAGAAGCTGCCTTACAAGTTTTCAGAGCTCTAACTTCTCTTTCTCTCTCTTTCTCTTTCTCTTTTCTTTTCCTTTTAATTCGTTCAACTACTGCATTCTTCGGCTACCGTGCCCGGTAAACTGATATGAATGTAGAAGAGAAAAAGGAAAAAAACAGAAGATTGTTTTTTTCTTTCTCTTTTACTTTCTTCTCTCTTATAACTATATATATGTGTATGTATGTATGTATGTATGTATGTATGTATGTATGTATATATTACCTGTAAATGACTCTTGACATGGGCTAATGTAAGATCTTTAACATCCATGAGCTCAAGAACTGACTTTGGTGTAGCTCCTGAAAAAAATTCCAGTCCCCAAACAAAGGAAAAATAGTTCATTAGTCAATATATAAATATTCCCTCACACACACACACACACACACACACATATGCATACATACAAATGAAGAGAAACCAAGAGGGTTGAAGGAGAAGAGTTTTCTCAGAACTTAAGTAATTTTATTTTGATTAGAAACTCATACATTCATTAATTAGATGTTATATAGATAGTAATCATATAACAACAGAACAATACATATGAGAGAGCGTGAGGGGGAAGGTTTATAATTACTTTCATGGCCGCCAAGAAGCTCAACAGCATGAACAAATCGAGCATGGAGAGTGCTGGTCCACCGCATCCTCGGAGCTCTCATGCTTCTTTTTGCAGGCAACTTAGGTAAGAATCTCGATCTGATAATCCCATGAGAAGCATCGGAAGATCCAGCTGCGTACTGGTTATGGTGGTGCAAGTGTTGGGATTTGGATGAATCCACGGAAAAAACTCCATTAAATCTCGAGGTTGGTACCCGATAACCCGACTGGTTATTAGGCCCTGCTGAGCTTAAGATCGACATGGGATCTAGACCATAGTAAGGCGAAGAAGGAGAAGAAGACGATGACATAGAATTAATTACCGAGGATGGAGAGGAAGAAGGATTATAAGGCGGCGGCATTTGGTAGAAACTCATCTTGGTTTGATCTTTTTGTCTGGTGTGTTGCTCTAACGGCATGAAAGGAAATGAACGGTTGTGATAGACCGGAATCCCTTTGATCGGCCGGAGACCGTCGGATACTTCGAGGAGGGAAACACCATGGTTGATGTGATTCAAGTGAGAGTTATTATGATTAGAATGGTGAAGATGATGATGATTATGAAAAGGGTAATTTTGTAATGAAGGAAATGCTAATTCTTGAGCTCCACCTCTGAAATTTCTTACAGATTGGGTGTGAAGATCAGCTTGGTCGTCCATGGAATTAGCCGGGTGAGCTAAAGAGAGCTCAGTATAAGCTTGTGAGCTTGTTCTAATGGAGGTTCTGCTGCTCGATTTATCATCTTCTCGTCTTCGACCCAAGAAATTATTGAAGCTTGTGTCAGCTCCATTAATGGCGGCGTTACATGAAGAAGAAGAGGAAGAAGAAGAAGCAGTGTTTGGGAGACTGATATGAAGAGAGAGATCAGGAAGAGGGTTTGATGATGTATTGGGTTCAATAAAAACACTTTCTAAGGGCATATTGTTTATTTTCTTTCTTCCCAAACACACACAGAGAGCTTCCTTTAACCAAAAACAGTGATGATCCCCTTTTTTTTTGCAGACTGGAAAACAGGAAAGAAGAAAAAAGGAAAGTGTAAGTGGATACTAATTAAAGTCTTTTCATCTCTTTTCCTCCTCTATCTTTGTGGGTATGAAAGATTTGATACTCCTGCTAGAATTAAAACTTAAATAAAGAAACAACATCAAGATTATATGTGTGTGTGTGTGTGTGTGTGTATGCACCCACATAAGCTTTTGAAGAACTAAAGCGCAAGAAAGGAAAGAACTCCAAAGTGGATAAGTGGGAATTACTGAGAAAAGAGACAGTACTAGTCTGCAAATCTTCTTCAAGAAAACAAATATGCTCAAGAGAGAGATATAGAGAGAAGGAGGAGGAGGAGGAGGAGGAGGAGGAGGGTATGTGTGTTTGGTATATTGGAAAATGAGAGAGAAAATAAAATTTAAAAAAAAAATCAGATAAAAGAAGTAATGATAATCCAGAAAGGCATAGATATATGGAGAGGAGGAAGGGGG